GAGTCCAGTAGCCTATAATAGCATTGGGTCTTATATTTAACTGGCAATGTCAGAAATTATTGACCTGAGTCCCCCACAGCTCAACTTAACTGAAATTTGTTTTTTCATTATACCATGAATTTAGTTGGTCCTGGATAAGATCATAAAGTTAGGATTTTTGGGGTCAAATAAGGTAAGAATACACATTCATATATATATATCCATGCATATTGACACAAATACACTTATTTGTATGGCTCTGTTCCCTAAACCCATAGTCTTTTTCTCCCTTTCCTCCCTTGGACTGGCTTTAGGGACTTGGGTTTGACGGGATGCTGCTTCTAGCACTCTATGCCATCCAACCTAAACACTTTAGAATCCACTGGGCATCAGCTGAGTTATCTAGGTGAAGATTTGTACATGGTAAGGGAAAAATTTCAACTTTCAGGCTAACACAATAGCAGTCAAAGCTAATAATCTGGCTCATATTATCAGGTTTTTACTTTTCAAAATCTCCCAAGACTAAATAATTGCTCTGATGAAGTGGTATGCCTGCCAGCTCCAGTAGGTCATCACCTAAACTCACTGAGAAGCATTTGCCTGGATCTTGCACTCAATTTATAATAGTTTATATAAAGCCTCTGTGAAGAAAAAAGTATAAAATTCTCATATAAATCACATATAGCAAACTAAAAGGGAAATGAAAATGTTAGAGGAATTTAAAATGTGTCAGATTTGTTTGCATAATTTTTAAGGGGAGACCTAACCATTTTTCAAAAGAAAAAATAGTTAATCCATAAATATTAAGGCACAAATTTCTTAATTTGAATTATGACTATTTATGACAGCTCAGCTTTTATTGTTGTCTGTTAAAAGCTTTTAGAAAAGGTTTTGTTGGCAAGAGGACTTTACTACTGCTAAAATATTTTTAAATGTATCAATAAATTCAATAAATTTCTATAACTGATTTTGATAATTTATTAGTTATTAAGACAAAAGTCAGAAGGAAACACAGCAACATCAGCTCTACTATTCTTCCCAATTTCTATTTTGGGATGCTCATAAACTAATCTTATGCTAGAATATGTTAGTATGCAAGTAATACGGTGTCATGATTTGGGGTTGTGAGATGACATGAGGTACCCTATAAATCATTAAATTATATTCTTTGTCTGCTTAAAGAATATGGAGAATCATGCCAAATAGTGATTCTTTGGGGGTGAGGCAGAGGAAACCTAAACCTATTTCTTTACCTTCCTCCTTTCTTCTCTTTGCTTCTTCCTCATTTCTTTCTTTGGCCTTCAATGCTTCATCAGCTTTTGCTGTAAAAGAAACATTTAAAAATTTAGGAAAATGAAATAGAAATTCATTATTTTTTTCTGTGAAGCAATTATTAGAAGAAATGTGGTACCTGAAACTGTGAAATACATGATTTATATTCTTTATTCAAGATAAGTACTCTGAATAATTATTTTGAATCTCTGAAGCTAGTTGAAGATACTCTCTATACAAAATAACAAATGAATTAACGCAATATAAGCTTAAATGATGACAGATAAATTAGGAAAAATAGTTGATCATTAAAAGCAATCTAATTTGTCAGTTCAATGCATCTGTTTTAAACTTCACAGGAAAAATTTTAAGGTGTAAATCACACTTCAAATATAAGAAGATCACAATATCTATAGAAGAGAAGGAAATTAGGTAGCTTTTTTTTTCATTACACATAATCATAATCATTCTCTATTCATGTTATGACAGCATTTGGTGAAAAGGATCTTTTTCCCTCTAGAAACCTCTTCCCTTATTACTTAATTATCTACTAGTTGCTCAACTGCAGAGGATTCAAACACGTTACTACAGATGTTAAAGAAGATTAAAAATATACAGCACAGTAACAAGGGACTATCAATATACTCTGTAAATTAATTAAATTTCTGTTCTAGCACATCATTTATTCTAAAGCATTAATGTCTCAAAGGAACGATTCTCCTTTATTGCCGTCTCACTGCCTGATGAGTGAACTAAGTGAAAATAAGTCTCTAATAGCATTATGGTTGATGAAATATTAAGTTAAAAAAGTATTGCCTCATCAAAAGAAAAAGAATCAAACTATGCCAGAACTAAACTGTGGATAAACCTTTATCATTATAATGGCAATGTAAATGTGATTTAATAAATAAACATATTTACTCATTTTTTAGCTGCATATAGTTTTCTTATGCAAAATCAATATAGTAACAGATCCTTTGGAAGTATAAAACTTAGCATATACGTGAAATTTAAAGAAAATACATGTTTCGGATGAAACTATTTTTCCTCAAAGCTTGATTTTTTTCATGAATAATGACAATTTTCTTGATGTACAAAACTTATTAATTGTGTTATTAAGTGCTATATCCAATTACATAGACATCTGCTTCCATTTATAACCTTTTATACATACTTACGATGCATTTAAAGTCATGAAATATTAAAACTTTTATGGTACTTTGTATCATTGCAAGAATCTATTAAATAAGATAATAAAAACGAACAACCAGTAACTCTACAGACTTTTACTTCATTTACACTTTATTCTCCCTGGTAGAAGGACAAGGATAATAGAAATTCCATTTAAATTCAATTTTGGTTACATGTGTAATTGTAGATATACCCCTTGAGTCATGTAAAATGCTCAGCTTATGTTTCTTTCAAATTATCCTGCTCAGATACACATTCTACTCCTTACAACCATCTTCAATATGTATTAGCAGAGCTCATTAGACTGAAATTTAATAATGCAAACATCAGGTGGATTTCAAGAACCTCCATTAACAACATAAGATGGATTGCTTATATATAGCTCTTGGGCCAACTGGGCACAATTTAAATTCAATAAACTAGCCTGCTTAAATCTGATTTATCTATTTCACTATGCTGGGTTGTCCTTTCTTACTGATTTGTTGCAATACATGGACAATTCATTGGAATATTTATATGTTTTTTTTTAAACTGCAAATGGCTCTGGTACTATGGTTAAATGTTTTATGTAATTCAGCTTAATACTGTCAAGATTCTCAAGTGTGTGTGTGTATGTGTGTGTGTCTATGTGAATAAATTAAAAATATTTTGAATTATGCTGAAATAACATGGATAATAATCTTAAAAGCATATGTTTAAAATGTTACCAATATGTCCTCCACAAAGAATCTGAAAAACTTTATTTAAGAGACTATTTAGTCAAATTCAATCATTATGATAAATTCCTTATTGACTAACTTTTAAGAAAATCTAGAAGAAATATTTTTTCTTTCTCATTGCTTTATGTATTTAAGATTTAAATGTTAATTGAGGCAGAATTTACAGCCATACATGCATAATTTAGTTTATCCTTAAAAATTTTATATTGTTTACAGGTAGCAATCTTGTTTTGCAGATGAAGATACTGAAACTTACTAGATGTACCACAACATTTTACACCAACAAACATAACCTATAAGTGACCAACTCATGAATTAGCACTCTCTTTGGACTTTACAGTAGGATCTATTAGAAGCACATCGTTAGTAAATTCCTTATACCTTCTACTGGCCTACTACACAACTTCCAATCCTTAGTTCTTCCATATTCTCCCAGGATAATAATCCCCTCCAGATTTTGCCTACCCAACCTGGATGGTATGGCTTGAATATCCCCACCAAAACTCATGGTGAAATTTAATCCCCACTGTTATGTTTAAAAAGCTGGGGATTCTAGGAGATAATTAGGTCACAAGGACTAACCTCATGACTGAGTTAATCTATGCATGGATTAATAGTTTGTCTCTTGAGTAATTCCCCTGTAAAAGCCAGTTGAACTGTTTCTTTTTCAGGTACCCCTTTGCAGAGCATTATCACTAGTAAGAAGGCTACAACTACTCCTCACCCTTGTACATTCTGGGCCCCGGAATCATGATTTACATAAACTTTTATGTTTTGTAACTACCTAGACTGATGTATTCACTTATAGCAATATAAAAAGGATCAAGACACTTGTTATGGTTTGTGTCTAGTTGTCTCCTCAAAGCCTCATACAGTCATGAGGCAGACTTCTAGAGACTGTGAATAACTCATGATCTAAAGCTGGGATTATGGGTGTGAGTGCCACACCAGGCCTGGTGAAGATATATGCAATCTAAGGAAGGGATAGGCTTGCTCTCTATCTCTGCTGCCACTGTACTGCTCCTCCCATTTTGCTTGTTCTGTATTCCACTGCCATGAAGGGCTACTCTCTGCTATGTGCCGCTCTGCCTTGGAGCCAGCCAAGTATGGACTGAAACCTTGACAAACTATGAGCCAAATAAACCTTTTCTTCCTTAATTTGGTGTGTCCAGTATTTTGTCCCCAAAACAAGAGAAAAGTAACTGAGACAGTACTAGACACCAAAGCATTTTATTACTGTCCTTGTAAAAATCACTCTCATTTCCCTTAGGCTTTCATTGTTTGCTAAGCTATTAACCACGTATTTGACCTTTTTTATTTTTTTTCTACTTTTGCCACAGAGGGTACCAACAAAACAGTGTATACATGCTACTGGTTCTATCACAAGCTAATAACTTAAAAATTAACATGAATTTTTTTGTTTCACCTTTAGCTAACATTCATAGATGATGTCCATTCTCTCTTATTTCCTACTACATACTGTAGTTTCACCACAACAAATGCCAATAATCTCACACCAGCTTCCCTGATTCCCTTATATTTTCTCAGCATCAGTACAATTCACTTTCAAATTTTTGTGTTTATGAATTCTTTTTGTACATTGTTTCATAAAGTAATCCATCCATTTATGCATTTAAACTTATTTCCCTGTTCACCAAAATTCTTCCTGTTTAAGGTTCAAATGCTCTCTTCTCTATCCTCACACTATATATACATTCAAGTCTCACAAATCCTGCATTATACTTACTCTTACTCTTTGTTCAACCCAGCTCCTCCCTTCTCTTGTTCCTACCTTTTGCTGTTCAACATATGTAATGGCCCTAAAAATTCTACAATAGCCAGTTCTATGGCTATGTTAGTTTTATCTGACATTGTCTCCATTTGTAAAAGTTAGCAAACCATGTATTTGGCAGAGTATTTTCTTAATTCTGACAATTATCTGTCAAAATTTTTTGCCTGCTTTCTTTTTACTCACTTCTTATTTCTTGGAGTTCTACTCTTGGGCAGTACATACAGGGTCTGAATTGTAATCTATAAGCTTCTCTAAGCACATCTACCTATACTGAGAATTCCTGGATATCTCCACATAGATATTTAAAAATCATGCCACGTGGAGATAGTTGAATGCACTATCTCCACAAACCTGTTCTCTTAAATTGAAAGATTTGTTAACATTTTTATCCAACTCTCATCCTATATGGCATATGACTGGCATTCTCTCAGATTCTATTACATAGATTGCCTCTAGAATCCTTTTCACCCCTTTTCATTTTCACAGCCAATAGTCCTCATCTCTTTTCCCTTTGAGCAAGAAAGATGCTCCTGTCCATTCTCTGTACTTCTAATCTTATCTCCTCCATGGACCTTCCAAATTAAAGAGTATGTTTACTCTTTTGTATTCCACTAGTATGTAAGTACAGTTCATAGAACACAGAAATGGGCAATTATTATTAAAAATGAATATACTTTTCTAAAGCACAAACATTCTGTCACTGTCTGCTAAAAATACCTTTGAGGCCACCTTCAAACACACACACACACACACACACACACACACACACAAAAACAGAAATAAACACAGTGATACTTCAGTTGTCAAAGTGAATTTGCTTGAAATTCATGTTGAAACACTGAAAAGTTCACAAACAACACATTTTCCTCATAAGAAATAATGGAAAACCAAATAATTGGTTCTGAAGCCCCAAAACCACACTTACAAATTCATTTTTGTAGGACTTCAACAAATTTTGCAGTGATTTGTTTTTTCTTTTAATTCTATAATGGCTTTTAGCCTGCTACTGGTATCACTACCTTTCTTTGGACCCAGGGTTACAATATTTTACACAAAGTGCTCCCCACCAAAAAAAAAAAAAAAGGCACAATGACAGATGTTTTACTATAGGAGTGCTTAGACTGAGGCATTACCTCCTCATTTCTGCAGTCAAATATGACATGTGACTCACTCTTGGCCCATACAGGTTTTTTCAAAATGGATTTTTGGTTCAACTTTGGAATAAAGTTATTAACACTGATCAGACTTTGTTTTTTTAAACTTTGCTATCCTAGTAGTGCAATGCTTGAACTTGGAGCTATTAGGCAACAAAGGTATCACTGTATATGTTTTATATAGATAGATCCAA